AGATAACCGATAAGGACTCGAACGTTCGCTGTGTCGTTTTCGTCGGATTGAACGACGGTTCGTCGGGCACGTCGATATATCATCGAGCCCGTGTATGTTATCGGACAAAGACGTTGGGCATCGAGAGAACTTGAATCGAACCGTTTGGTATACACGCTGACCAGGGGAACGACGTTAATCCGATTGGACTGAAACACGTTGCCATGTCAATCATATTCAAATCGATTGTGGGATGATCGAGTTATAGGTGGTTCGGACGTCAACTAATCGGAAATTGAAATTTCGTTGACCGGGGTTGCCGCGAAAGTCGAACCCCGGCGTTATCGATTGCACGGTGGCGATGTTTTTACGTCCATCTCGAGAACGTACTAGCGCAGCGGTGAATGTTTTCGTGAAACTGCAGCGTTCCGCTCCCGTGAAACTTGGAAACGCATTCTCAGATTTGATTCGACTTTGGTGATTATTTATTAATATTTATTCGTGCTGCAGCGAGGGTATACTCTCGCGTCCCTTGCCTCTTCCTCGAATCGTGAGAATAATCTTCCCGATTGATAATTCGCTCTCGAACTACTTAAAATTTTAATCGTTTAAATAACAAGGATAATATAAATATAATCATAATAGGTACTTCGATAAAAAACTTATTATTATAATCATAATCAGCAGGTATTTTAATCGCTACTCGACCGTTATCAATAAATGGTCGATTATCTCAAAATAGCCCGATTTTAGATTGATGCCGATTATGTTAACGTAGAGCTGCGTCTATCTTCGTACAAAGTGTAACAATCAATAAGCTACTCACGAAAGGGAAGTAATGTTAAACACAAGCTCGACAACTATTACATTTCTGTTCGAGGAAGAAGACTTTTTCTTCGCTAGTTTCTAATAATTCTTAGAAGTATATAGAATCATCGTAATGCGATTGTACCAAGATTACATATACAGTGATATATATTTATAACTCTGTATCGCACGTTCTTGGTGCATTCGTTCCTATGCTCTGGATACTATTGATATTTTAACAAAGGGCTCGTATATGGCTATTTAATATCAACAATATGTGGAAAAATCATATCGTAAGAACCACGAAACAAATAATGTTCCCTTTTTCGAACGATCATTCGGACAATTATTAATTTACGAATTCAATATTTTAAAATTAAAGTAGACTAAACTTAATTATAAGTCGCCAATGCAAAGTTTTTACGTTTCGTCGTAGTTTTTGGTTTTAATGGTATACAGAGGCCAAAATAAGACGAAAATCAAGAATACCAATTTGTTGATGGAGGCTTCCTTAAAAAGTTATTAACAATTAAATTCAAAAATATCAAATCGTTCTAAAAAAATTATTTTCGGTTGCGGGAGTGAATTACAATCATTTTTGGTCAATAGACATACCCCCGAATTCCTACTCACTTTCTAGAAAAAAATTCGAGAAGTTGTGAAATTTTTAGACGGAAAAGAAATTTGTCAAATCGTTTTGGAAAAATTATTTTCGGTTGCGGGGGTCAATTACAATCATTTTTGGTGAATACACATACCCCCGAAATCCTACTCACTTTCTAGAAAAAAATTCGAGAAGATGTGAAATTTTTCGACGGAAAAAAAAATTTCAAATCGTTTTGGAAAAATTATTTTCGGTTGCGGGGGTTAATTGCAATCATTTTTGGTGAATACACATACCTTCGAAATCCTACTCACTTTCTAGAAAAAAATTCGAGAAGATGTGAAATTTTTCGACGGAAAAAAAAATTTCAATTCGTTTTGGAAAAATTATTTTCGGTTGCGGGGGTCAATTGCAATCATTTTTGGTCAATAGACATACCCCCGAAATCTTGCGCATTTTCGAGAAAAAAATTCAGTTCGGGCGGAACTTTAAACGTTAATAACTTTTTAACGAAGCCTCGATTAAGAAATTGGTATTCTTGATTTTCGTCTTATTTTGGCTTCTAGAATCCCCCGTTAAAATTTTCCCCAGGGTTGACCGAACATCCTGCATCGAGTGATGTGAATCGTAATATACGGAATTAAGTAGATCAGCCCAAGACTCTCCAAGTGATACGCGTCAGCGTGTGGTCAGACGTTATGCAGTTTTTTCCAATTCTCAGCGGATTATCGATTTCACGATAATAATAATGCTATACTTCTCGTTCCAAGGATACGTGTATCGACTATCAAGCATCTTTTTCTCATCAAATCACAGTATTCATACTTAATCGCTAGGTTTTGCAGCCCACTATTTGCGCCTATCCAGATTTTATCATTCTACTTGTGACAAATACTAGCCTCGAAGTATCGTAGATTTCTTACTTTATTTCTACTCAAACGTATCTCAAAATGAAACTATAATTATAGCAATCAAGTCTCTTTATTTATTAACCAAAGTAGAAACAATGGTAATAGCGGTGAGAAATGAAGAATCCGATATTTGGGCGTAGTTGAAACGTCATATCGCGATATTCGATTGTATTTGTAAGTATTTAGTCGTAAGTTACGAACGGCTTGAGCCAAGCAGATTGACCTAAACCTATTAGCAGAAGTATCGAGAGTTTTCTACGCACGAGGGTAAACTGTTATTTCTGTAGTCCATCGTCGACGTAGGTTAATACCTTGAATAGCGTTACGTCATCTCACTGGGTTTTTTTTTTTTCCTTCGATTGAAGTGTCACTTTCGTTTACTTTTCGCATGAGGTAACAGCAGGAGCATATCTATCGAGGATACTTTGAGCAAACTCCCGAGAGATTTAAACCGTATCGTTTTTTCTTTTAAAAAAATATCTCTGCTATTATCGAACGAGAAACATTTCATTTTTCGACATATTTAACGAAACGAAAATTAAAATATTATTTTTTTAAAATGCATTTATATTTTTCGTTTAACTTCTCCCTCTACATTTTTTATCTTTTACTGAATTCGAGATGTAAACCGACCCAGTTGGGCGACGTGTCCTGTAGAGGAGGATCGATAGGTTGCATTCCTAACAAGGAAGTTCCGGAAGCTGATTCTAATATCGTCGCTTCTTCCTTAATCCAATGCTCCGCCACGGAGCAATATCGTGCCATTGTCACTCGACGCGACATCGATCATTTTTACTTCGCGATTTTTATTCGAAAATCGTGCAAAGGCAACTGTTGAATCGGAAAACCAATAAAGGAGAGCCACTCGGCGAGATATCGTATATTTTTGTTGAATATCGTGATCCATTTTCGAAACACGTCCGTGCAATTGGCTTAATTTAACCGAGAAGTTCGCTCTTTGTGATGCGCATAACGGGAGATAGTCTTTCACGATCCCCTAAACTCTTGATCTACTTCCACTCACCGCTGTACATAATGGAGCGTCTTTAAAGTATCGTTCAGACCTCTGCTGATTTTCTGCATCCTTTTGTTTTAATCTCTCTTCTGTTTCTGTTTGTTCGTAGGATCCGTGCATCCGGGATTACCTATAAATAGAGTTCGCGTTTAATTGGTAAACTTGCGTCGTCGAGAACCAGACTTTGTAATGTACTGTAACGAGAACATTCGCTGCTACTAACGACATAGTTCGACTATTAGCGAACTTCGTGGATTAATTTTATTTCACGAAAAATTGATGAAATTGCTCGACTCGAGTTGCGGTATAATAAGAAACCTTTATTCCTGTTAACGCTTGTGTAACTATGTTATTCAGTGGTTTGGACAAACCAGCTTTTTAATCGCGTAGGCGGTGGTGATTACAAGAACTAATTTTACGCTTAATTTCCATTCTTCCGCGTAGATGAGTGCGTCAGAATGCATGGGAGCATCGGCGAGCTCGCAGTGAAACGAGTCAGCCATTGACCAGACGAACTATAGAACGAATGCTCGTTACATCTAAATTTACACGAGAAACAAAAATAACACAGGAATAACTTCTGAATGCATACGAAATAATTTTTTACGCAAAAATTGCATAATTCGAAGGAGCACATTACGTATTTCGTATATTATTTTCTATAGGCGGCGTTTCGGAGATTCGAAGGGTAGTTTCGTTAATGCTCTTCAACCGTTCTCACACTTCGTGGAACACTTTGATCGATCATGAAATTAAATATAGACATCGATTTTTTCTCTCTCTCGTTATTTCTGGTGTATCAGAAGTTCGTCAAATTTTTCGAGGAAAATGGCGTAGCTTGTATCAGCGACCGTTGTTTTAGAAATCTAACTGTAAGGACTCAATTCTGTTGGAATCACTTCCGTCGAAATGGAAAAATTAATCGTATTTGTAGAGCGGCGATAATCCTTCTGCTCCTTTTGTTCGGACGTTGATTCGTCGGATGTTTATTGGCTCGTTTGTCGATTGTTTTGCGAGTAGGCGGATAATTATCCCTCGATCGACGAACCTTTTGTCGGTGGATATCGATTTTCGACGACGTCCATGCACCAGTTACTTTCATTGGCAGGTGATTGACGACGCCACGAAACTCGCGATAGCGTGTTTCAATCACCGCTTAATGAATAACACTATAAAATTCAATAAAACTCTTTGAACGTAACGCGTACGCTCTCGTTCGGTAATAAAAGAAGCTTTTACTATTACTTGGGATTTCCTTTTATCGTGGACTGAACGTGCAAAGTCGTTACGTATGCACGGATAGGTTCATTTACATTAACTACGTGAAATAGAAATATGAAATAATGGTAATGATACAAACATCAGTGCTGATACTAATAATAATAATAATTATGATGCAACGGAATAAGAACGCTCTTATTATTAGTATTCGCGAACAATTGCGATTTAGTATTTATCAGAACGAATAGAGACACGATCATTAATTTTGACGAAGATGTTCCGCGATTGTTCGTCGTAAAACATTCAGCGGCCCAAAGAATTCATCGAATGGAACAATCGTGAAATAACGCATTGTTTTAATTAATCCAGGAGCATGGACTCTCGCTCGATAGAATAAACTTTCGATCGCATCATTCCCTTCCATGTTGCTGGCTCTGCTAACGATGCCTCTTTATTCTCGCAGAGAAACGAGAAAAAAGTCTATATCGCCAGCACCGCCGCCGTCGTGACCCGACGTTGAATAAAAAACAGAAGAAAAATGTCGTCGGTAAAGGTGGCGGTGAGGGTACGACCCTTCAACAATCGGGAGATCCACCACGAGGCACAATGCATCATCGAAATGACCGGCAACACTACTTGTGAGTATAATTAATTTCGCCGTTTCCTACTTTTCGCGTGGATATTCACTCGAACGTCGTATTATTTTTTTTCTATTAATTTACCTGCCTAGTCCACGTCCAAAACAGTTCCTCAAATCACAGATTTGCAGAAATAATAAAGAATATAAACTTTGTAATTGACTGCAATATTACACTTGCATTTATTAGTAATATAAAATGGAAGAAGTATATAAGTTGCTTCTTTTTACTCCCAAAAATTATTTTCGGTTGCAGGGGTCAATTACAATCATTTTTGGTGAATACACATACCTCCGAAATCCTACTCATTTTCTAGAAAAAAATTCGAGAAGCTGTGAAATTTTTCGATGGAAAAAAAAATTTTAAATCGTTCTAGAAAAATTATTTTCGGTTGCGGGGGTCAATTACAATTATTTTTGGTGAATACACATACCTCCGAAATCCTACCCACTTTCTAGAAAAAAATTCGAGAAGGTGTGAAATTTTTCGACGGAAAAGAAATTTGTCAAATCGTTTTGGAAAAATTATTTTCGGATGCAGGGGTCAATTGCAATCATTTTTGGTGAATATACATACCTCTGAAATCCTACTCATTTTCTAGAAAAAAATTCGAGAAGGTGTGAAATTTTTCGACGGAAAAAGAAATTTCAAATCGTTTTGGAAAAATTATTTTCGGTTGCGGGAGTCAATTACAATCATTTTTAGTGAATATATATACCCCCGAAATCCTACACCCTTTTGAGTAAAAAATTCATGAAGGTGTGAAATTTTTCGAGCAAATTAAAAAATTTCATATCATACTAAAAAAATTATATTTAGTTACAGGGGTCAATTACAAGCATTTTTGATCATTAGGCATACCCTCGAAATTCAACCCACATTCGAGAAAAAAATTCATAAATGTGTGAAATTTTTCGATGGAAAAAAAAAATTTCAAATCGTTTTGGAAAAATTATTTTCGGTTGCGGGGGTAAATTACAATCATTTTTGGTGAATACACATACCTCCGAAATCCTACTCACTTTCTAGAAAAAAATTCACGAAGGTGTGAAATTTTTCGAGAAAATTAAAAAATTTCAAATCATTCTAAAAAAAATATATTTAGTTACAGGGGTCAATTACAAGCATTTTTGATCATTAGACATATCCTCGAAATCCAACCCACATTCGAGAAAAAAATTCATGAAGGTGTGAAATTTTTTGACAAAATTAAAAAATTTCAAATCATTCTAAAAAAAATATATTTAGTTACAGGGGTCAATTACAAGCATTTTTGGTCATTAGACATACCCTCGAAATCCAACCCACATTCGAGAAAAAAAATTCACGAAGGTGTGAAATTTTTTGACAAAATTAAAAAATTTCAAATCATTCTAAAAAAATTATATTTAGTTACAGCGTTCAATTACAAGCATTTTTGATCATTAGACATACCCTCGAAATCTAACCCACATTCGAGAAAAAAATTCATGAAGGTGTGAAATCTTTTGACAAAATTAGAAAATTTCTAATCATTCTAAAAAAAATATATTTAGTTACAGGGGTCAATTACAAGCATTTTTGGTGAATAGACATACCCCCGAAATCTTGCGCATTTTCGAGAAAAAAATTCAGTACGGGCGGAACTTTAAACGTTTATAACTTTTTAACGAAGCTTTGCAGAAATAATAAAAAATATAAACTCTGTAATTAGTACAATATCACACTTGCGTTTATTAGTAATATCAGGTCGAAGAAGTACATAAATTACTTCCTTTTACAATTTAGGAGAATAAATTAAGAAGTGCATAAGCAGAGTGAGTAGTATAGGGGAATAAATTAGATATTAGAGGCAAAGTAAAAATTTGAATAGTTTAAAATGAATAATCCTCTAAATATTTTGAGCAGCAAACTTTATTATTAACTTACCAGTCCTCGTCGAAAACAATTCCTCAAAATACAGATTTGCAGAAATAATAAAGAATATAAAATATCATACTTGCATTTATTAATAATATAAGGTCGAAGAAGTATATAAGTTGTTCCTTTTTGTGTTAATTTACGAGGAAATAGCAAGATGGAAAAAAATGAGAGTGTGTGATTTAGATTACTGTGCATTTTCCTTTTTTATATTAGTGACTTTCCTCCTTTGCGTGTTACAGCGATATTGAACCCGAAAGCACCGCCGGGCACCAAAGATGCGATCAAGAGTTTCAACTACGATTATTCCTATTTTTCCATGGACGTAAGTACCTTTTATCTTACGCTAATGCTGGAAGTTTCTTTTTCCACCTGCATATTAATCGAGTAAAGTGAATCGTTGTGCACGTTAAGACTTTTTTTTTATTCTGACGCCACGAGACAAAGTTTAAAAATTAAATGCGCAAATGATGCGTAGATTAATATGGTGTTTATTTTGAGTTTGAAAAGCAATGAAAAAGTGATAAAACTTTTTCTCGACTCTTATTTCCCATCTCTGTACTCTTCGAAAACCTTAGAAACACTATAAATTATTCATCGTCTTTTGCTGCAGCCAAACGACGTAAATTATTCCTCGCAAGTGATGGTTTACAAAGATATCGGCGAGGAGATGCTGCAACACGCCTTCGAAGGTAAGCTTTTACGTATAAAAAAAAATGTTAAACATTCGAAACGTTTTCAGAGAAATGGCACGATCAATCTCTCAAGTATTTCGTACGCTGTATGTCCAAGTTCTCGCATACCGAGGAGTTTACGTTTAGGAATTAACACACGTGTTCGCATACCGTCAAACCAGGAATTGGGAGTTCAAATTCTCATGCATTCTTGACACACATTCACGATATAGGATGCAATTCTGCATTAAGTGTCCTGTCTGTTCTAGATACGTTCGTCTTCGAGTCTATGACGTTCGTAGGTCCTCCATAGATAAATTGATAATAACGATTTACGTGTTTCTATTCATATTTTGTCTCTGTATCAAAAAAAAGGTTACATTTCATACGTTTCGTACACATAATCGAATCGAACGAACGAAACAATTTAGTTATAAAACGCAATCGACAGGGCTCGAGTCGTAATTCGGTAATAATTGTTTGTAAATAGGGTACAACGTTTGCATATTCGCCTACGGACAGACTGGAGCTGGTAAATCGTATACCATGATGGGCAAACAAGAAGAGGGTCAAGAGGGTATAATACCCCAAATTTGCAAGGATCTTTTTAGAAAAATCGGTTCGAATACAACCGAGAGTTTGAAGCATTCGGTGGAAGTCAGTTACATGGAAATCTACTGCGAAAGGGTGCGGGATCTCTTGAATCCCAAGAACAAAGGAAATCTCCGTGTACGAGAGCATCCTCTTCTTGGACCATACGTCGAAGACCTGTCGAAATTAGCAGTGATGTCTTTTGAAGACATCCATGATCTTATAGACGAGGGTAACAAAGCAAGGTATGCAAGATTTTATTAGCAGATCAATTTGATCATATTCTAGCCACATATGTAAATATACTCGACAATAGATTAACTTCTTAGGAAGTTGTTGGTACTTGTTGCAAACTCACTGTATAATATTACCAATAAACAAGCAATTTAAGTGTAGGTCATTTGGTTAAGGGTTGAAACAGTGACAAAAATTTTCTTTAATTCTAAAGTCTATTGCTTCTGTTCCAGAACCGTGGCAGCAACAAACATGAACGAAACTTCGAGCAGATCCCATGCTGTATTCACGATTTTCTTTACGCAACAAAAACAAGACTCGGCGACCGGGTTGGTGACGGAGAAGGTCAGCAAAATCTCGTTGGTTGATTTGGCTGGTTCTGAGAGGGCCGATTCTACCGGCGCGAAGGGAACGAGGTTAAAGGAGGGTGCCAATATCAACAAAAGCTTGACAACCCTCGGGAAGGTCATCAGTGCTTTGGCCGAAAGCGTAAGTAAATCTCATTTCGTTGTATAAATTGTGTGAATAATGCTAATGCCAGTATAGTTTTGCGAGAATCTACTATTTAAACAATTGCAGTTTGCAGCTGGAAACAATTAGAGAGTTTACACAAATCACTTCATCTTCAAATTAATTGAACATTAATCTGTATAATACATTATCTCTTTCGTCTTTGTTGTTTGTTTCATTTTCCAGTATTGTCAAAAAGTCTGAACAAATTATCTTAAAACCCTATAGAGGACAATCAATTGTTTCTGTGAACTATTCAGGGGAATAAATTAGGTATCAGAGGCGAAGGAAAAAACTGTATAGTTTAAAATGAATACCCGACTATGATTTGTGAAGACGATCCTCCTAAATATTTTTAGCAGCAAGCTTTACAATCGATGGTGTCTTTCTAGTGAAAAATTTGAACTGTGTGAAAGCAATACAAGATGTTATTACTCCTATAAATTCCGCCATGAAATAGAATTCTTCCGAAGGCGAATGGGATCGTTCTGTATGAAATTCTTGCGTGTTCTATAAGCGTGCCCATGTTGGATAACACTCTGTAACGCGAGAGTTATAGAGCTTTAACCTTTCGAATTTGCCGGAATATTGTCTAAACTTTGTATTAACGTAATCCGTGTCTTCTGTCTATTTCGCTGCTGTTTTGCTATGGATCATTAGGCGGTAAGTTCATAAATCTACGACTCTTCCCCTTAGTTACCCGTTTCGAATGAATACTTGGAATGAAAGAAAGTTCAATTTTCATACACGAATTGGTAAAATAGAATTACCTCGGCGCACATTCTTACGATTCGAGCTTTTGCAAACTTTTTTCGTTGGTAAAAGATAATGCCCAATCATTGAGACTCGTTCGTTGGTGATTTGTCTAGGCTACTAAAAAGAAGAAGAAGGCCGATTTCATCCCTTACAGGGATTCTGTTTTAACGTGGTTGCTACGAGAGAACCTGGGAGGCAACTCTAAAACAGCGATGATAGCGGCAGTCAGCCCCGCCGACATCAATTACGACGAAACTCTCTCCACTTTACGGTATATTTATTCGTCGTTGTTATCGTATTATCATTCTTTTGTTCCGACCGTTCGCTGGTTAGCTTCTTTGAAGCATCTAATGTTCCTCAGAAACTTATGCGGTGACCTGAATAAGCTTGATGAAGTCATAGCTTGTTTGTAGCATCAAACTTCCAAGATGCAACGGGCGTTAAAACTTGTATGAATTATAAATGAATCTTCCCTGAACATCTCTTGTATAATGGAACGAACGTTATTGCGACGTTTGCCCTCGGGGAATGATTTACTTTCGCGGTGACGGAGCTTAAAAAAAATTTAGGACCGCTCGGAGTCGTTTACTCGGACCAGCCAAAACTTTTTTTTTACGAAAATTACAATTTTATTTCGTACTTGTGCCTCGCAACTCTTTCAAGGTAAAAATGGAAATAAGTTTCTGAAGGGGGGGATTAAACGAAGAAGTGGGAAACGGGCAGACACTTGAGAATACTTTTCAAAGGATTCATTAATGTACATTCAACCCTTTAATTCGAGGCGTAATTTGCAGCATACGTTCTTGCAGGGTTTAATTAAGTTCTATATGTATACATATATAGTGTCCGGGTTACATCTGTGCCTACGTTTCTTCCATTTCATTTTATTTTCCGACAACTCTGAACATTTTTTAATGATTCGTGTACCGTTTATTTATATTTTTCTTGCGTTAAATATAATTAAACGCGGAATGGTTCGAGCGAAGCACGAACGGCGTAAATTTTCTTGTTGTTCGCAATAGATACGCAGATAGAGCGAAGCAAATAGTTTGCAAGGCTGTCGTTAACGAGGACGCGAACGCCAAGCTTATTAGGGAGCTCAAGGAAGAGATTCAGAAGTTGCGGGAACTCCTCAAACAAGAGAATATCGACGTGCAAGAAGGTAAGTCGGTTTTTTTTTTTACCGGTGAAACACGAGTTGGATTTCCAAGAATCGTGTTCCCCCCATTCTGTGCGCGTGCGGGTACGCCTGGTTCGATAACAGTAGGTATGTGTCAATAACGCTCGAAGCGAAAGCAGTACAATGTACTGCTTAACATCCAATAATGGTTAAAAGCAGCATCATCCACTGTTTGATATTTAACGCTAACAAAACCAGTATGCTGAACGTTTCGGAAATATACAGGGTGTTTGCGATTATTTTAGCCAGCGTTTTTCTCGTGAAAAATGGAAAGTTATATAAGTAAATGCAACTGATAATAAAAAATTTCAAAATCCTTACCATGGAGTGAACATTGATACGAGCTTTAATCAAACCATCAAACTGTGCCAATAAATTTCATGATTAGAAAATAGGGGGGGAAAAAATGTTGTACGATGATAAAATAGTGCTTTGTCAAAGAGTCGATAGATCACGATTGAAAAGTAAAGTGTAACGACGAAAGTAGCGCTCCGTAGTCAGGCCACCATTTACATAGTACATTTTTTTCTTTGTTTCCCTTTATGCTTGACGTAGGGCCAGATGGTAAAGTCACATATGAAAAGAAAGAATCTAGTAAGTAAAATGACGACAATCTACACAGCGACGAAAGTCTATGAATGCCAGGGCAGCCCGATCACTATTGCGCGCCTGTTCTTTGAACGTCCGCTTCTATCTCACGCGCCAAGCGCCATAAAGCGTTATCATCTGTGTTTTTGTCGATCCCCGAAACGATTCTTTACATTCTGCTTCGCGCGAATCGCATTCTGTTTTTGTTTCCTTCTGACTCGTAAACATACACACATACATGTAACAGCTACGATAACTGCAGCGCCTAATGACTATTGTCCCCATCCCCTCGTAGGCGGCATAATTAGCGGCTTTTAAACGTGAAACACGAAGTTTGTGATTGAAACAACAGCGAGGAACGCCACATCCAAATAACATCCGTGTAGTTATTACCAACATTAAGATTAAGCTAAACAAAAATAAAGAGAATTTTGTGTAATATTCAACTTTTAGCCGAATCAAATATTTCTGTAAAAAAATAATTAGGACCAGATCGTTCGAGCAGTAACAAATAATTTCGATTTTTTATATTTCTAAAATTTTATCTGTAATTATCGGGTCATCTCATTTTCCCCGACTTACAGGATGACCTAATTTTATATTTTAATATTCAAAGTCCTCCGCAAGTGATGTCGTATCGCGTACGCTGTGGTTCTGAAAACTTTGGGATTCGCTGGTTCGAAATTTTCTTTATGAGATGCTATACATGTATTCTTTAAAATATAAGGATTCCGTAATCAGACGAATGGCCTGATCGATCTTATCTGGTAAAATCCTGTTAGCGTCTCCGAGAGTCTTCGACCGAAATAGACACGTAATTCATTTCGCATCGAGCGCTCACATATGAATTTCAGGCTTTTATAGTTTCTGTTGTGTCGGAATTCCTCTCCAGTAAACACGTGTTGTTTGCCTCGCTTACTGTCCACTTAGACCTATCATTTTGTCCCCGAATAACGGCCTAAAGATACTGCATGGCACTCGACAGCGGACAATTCGAACGCTATGAGCACCCGTTGACTAGAATTATAAATTTGAAGTAATTTCTTTCAACGTTTTGTCCCAGTAATAATATCTGACCGAACGCTACGCTTAATCTGTACAAATATAGTGATTTTTTTGTTTGTAATTTCGATCTACCTACACGATACATTTGTAGGATATCGCTGGCTTCCAATTTTTCAACGTATACAAAAACTGAAATAAAATTCATCGTGATTTGTGCCAATTTACAAACCATGTTATTGAACTTGTTATATTTTTGCGATGTATCGATCGCTGTCGACTTGAAACTGCCCGAAGGTATACTATTCGATGAACAATTTAAATTTATATGAACGTTAAGATTCGTCATTTTCCTCGGTGATACGGTTTTCGTTCGAACACAGATCACGAAACAAATCCTTGAGAAATTCTCTTTTTTCACTTACGCCACTGCTTTAGTTATGGCTTTTGGTGTTTTCGAGACACGTGTTACGTCCCTGGCTGATTCGCCACCTCGAATTATATATTTCTGTTCTTCGTTTCCTCACTGGAACATTTCTACCGCGCAGGGGACGAGATTATAAGAGCGAACAAACGCGAGGACGATGTGAAGGAATGTCGACCGAGAATCCCGTCTCACCCGACGTCGGCCATTGCCGAGGAAGCAGTGGATCAACTGCAAGCTTCGGAGAAATTGATCGCTGGTAAGTACAGAGAAGACATTCTTCATAAGGGAGTAATTTGACAAAAAGACTGATGACGGTTTCGTCGTTTGTTTACAGAATTGAACGAAACCTGGGAGGAAAAACTGAAACGAACGGAGCTGATACGTCTTCAACGCGAGGCGGTGTTCGCCGAAATGGGCGTTGCCGTGAAAGAGGACGGTGTCACGGTTGGCGTGTTCTCGCCGAAGAAAACTCCCCACCTGGTGAACTTGAACGAGGATCCTCTTATGTCCGAGTGTCTGATCTACTACATCAAGGATGGCTTCACGCGTATCGGTAGCGCCGAGGCTAACATACCACAAGACATTCAACTTTGTGGTCCTCACATACTGAGCGAGCATTGTGTCTTCGAGAACCACGAGAGCATCATCACCCTGATTCCGAAGAAGGACGCTTTAATCTACGTTAATGGACGCGTGGTCACCGAGCCAGTTGTTCTGAAGACCGGATCGCGTGTCATTTTAGGGAAGAATCACGTATTCAGATTCAATCATCCGGATCAAGGTATGTACTAATTAATTTAATTAATACGATTAATTTAATATCACTTTGATCTATTGTGCAGTTCGCGAACGAAGGGAAAAGGGGTCTCCCGCTGAGACGCCTGGAAATGGAGAGAGAGTCGACTGGAACTTTGCACAAATCGAATTGCTGGAAATGCAGGGGATCGACCTCAAAGCTGAAATGGAGAAGAGACTGTTGGTACTGGAGGAACAGTTCCGCAAAGAGAAAGAAGAAGCTGATCAACTGTTCGAGGAACAAAGAAAAGTAGGTTGAGACTGTTGATAAAATTTGGCTGTAACGTTGATGAAATGTCAGAAAATATCAGAAAAAAAAAAAATATTATTCTTTGCAGAGCTACGAGGCCCGGATAGATGCATTACAGAGACAAGTGGAGGAGCAAAGCATGACAATGTCCATGTATAGCAGTTACACACCCGACGATTTCAACAACATCGAGGAGGATATCTTTGGTGAGTACACATTACAAATTGTTTCCGAAGTTCACAATTTTTTGACTAGCTATACATATATATCATGAATTGCATCTTTCTAATATTTTATGATTCTTAAAATTCACATGAGCAGAGCTGCTACAAACTTATATTTATAAAATTGAATAGAATGTTTATTACACGAAATAACGTTAGATTTGTAATTGTTGCGTGGAAGGTGTTTACACAGCTCTGCATGTGAGTAAGCTACGTCGTGTGTAGCTCGTACTGCCTCTTCGTTAAAAGTGTCGGAATTTGTAATGGATACGATTAAAGTTTATTTACTAAATATATTAAAAGGTTTTGTGAAATGAAAAGTGAAACGACATATCATTACAAATTCTGCAGTTATACGGATCTGTGTGAGATACAATCAGATGATGGCACGTAAAGGAACGTTAGACGCCATTTTTTTGAATGTTCATTCATCGTTCATTTTATCTTTCAATTTGATTCTAATGCACGCATGTGATTATGTTGTACGATGTTTCGTTATTTTTGCTAGTTTGCGTCGAAATAGAAATAAAAATAAAAATTGAACTTTTAGTAGATGAATAACATTGTCGAAGTCATTTGTCAATGTGAGTCACGGTGCATCATCTGATTGTCGGCAATACACAGTGGCTGCTTTTAACGAAGGAACTGGTATCCACAAACTGCTTGGCTTTTCTGACTGTTTTGCCTGGTAATGGCTTGCATTTCAGTCAACCCCTTGTTTGACGCAGAGAGCAACTGGTCCGAGAGAGAGTTCCAACTGGCCGCTTGGGCCTTCCGCAAGTGGAAATATCATCAATTCACAAGTCTTCGAGATGATCTCTGGGGCAACGCGATATTCCTCAAAGAGGCTAACGCTATTTCTGTCGAACTCAAAAAGAAGGTACATTCGTGGTTCATTTTTCGGAATAAAATTTGACCGTTAATCGTTGCCATTCGCGGATCATTGACATTTGCCTCTTCCATCATTAGCATTTGTTCCGTTACGATTACTTCATCATTTCACATTTTATATATATTAAAAATAAATTCGTTATCAAAGCTAATTTGCTTACGTAAATTTTCAAGTCTAATCGTTAATCAAAATGTTTAAAATAAGAATTTACACAGTACTCAAAATTTGTATTTCTTTTTTTTTTATGCTTAATTCGTAGTATGAAATTAATCTCGTGACTCAACTTTAACGTCATTTTATATGTTTTAACGCACTCGATAAAACAAGTACCCGCTTTTTGATGTTCTATGAACCGAATAAATACTTGATATTACCACAACCATACATTTATTTATCCATCTTTTCATAATTTTTTTAATTTGATTTAAACTGTTAAATTTATTGTTGATATTTTCTTAACCGATTCATTCATTTCACCATTCTTTTATATTTCACGAAGCGATTCGTTTCCATGACTCTAATAATTTATCACTTTTGATTGAAATTAAATTTTGATTGCATTTTCTTAAATTAAGTATATCACAGACAGACTAGACGTTTGACTAGTAATTTTGTTTCTTTTGGTTCGTAAATTATTTTCAAATTTGCACTAATTTGTGCATTTATTTCAGTGTGGAATGACGAATGTTTCATATTGGTTACATTCTACGTATAAAATGTTCTTTATAGGTTCAATTCCAGTTTACTTTGCTCACGGATACGCTTTATTCGCCGCTTCCTCCGGATCTTTTACCCAGTGTAGATGAAGACGAGGAGGAAGAAAGGCCGTTCCCGCGCACGATTGTTGCCGTTGAAGTTCAAGATACAAAGAACGGAGCAACACATTATTGGACACTTGACAAACTAAGGTTCGTACTTGATATATTGCTTCGTTCCACGATCATGCATTATATTATCGTTTAACACTCATGGTTAGAGGGTAAGTCACTTGTACGGTTTCAAGTCAGTGTCTCCTACGTGAAAAGAGGATATATCAAAGAACTGTTTATTTGTACGTATTTTAATAGTCGATCGTATTATCTGGAACCATCAATCCTAGTGACAAAATTATTTAAAAAATATTTTTGTGTTTACTAGGGCCCTCCATGCAACAAATGGGATATCATTATTGGTCCCATTTCCAGGATACAGACAGAGACTAATCATTTCAGTATTTGATTTTAAAAATAAAATTACCTAAATGTTTACATTATTTGGTATAATTTAACCCCGGTAGACTTCGAAATATCTTAGAGGAATTTGTTGTCTCATCTTTCGTACATGTATGTGAATGTTGATACGTAAAGGATATAGAGATGTCTCATCAAAAAAACGCACGAACTTTCCGTTCGATCCAATACATTCTTTATCCTCGATTTCATAGCGAAAGTTGTAGGGATTTCGAGTACTTGAATTTATTGTACGAACGAATGCTCGGGGATAAAAAAGCACAGAATTATGGATTTAATCATTGCTTTGATCAGATCGTGCTTGGATAAAAAACGCACAGGGACACTCACGCAAGTAATACGTGTTAACTTATAGACAGCGCTTGGAGTTGATGCGACACGTGTACAACGAGGACTCGAGCCCCAGCACCCCGGAGGCCAAAGAGGATATTTTCCAATGCCTAACTGTCTACTCTAATCCGAAGTTCTCGCTCGCAAATCTTTTGCCTTCGAGGTTGGTGCTCGAATGCGCGAGGCTCTTTCCTCTCATTATCGCCACACGCTTCACGCCCATCCTGAATTATTAAGAACGCAAACCCGTCGATTTTCTATAATTTCGTTCTCACCGTTTTCCACCGTTTCGATATACACACCGTCTCTCGGTCTGAACAATTACCCTTCAAAGAAATACTTTTGCTTTGCAACTGTGCTGGATTCACACGAGATATCGACGAAGGACTTTGCATGGCCCAGCGTTCTCGGTCTTTGGCGTTGACAGTCGAAAGTGGAATTAACCCTTCTAAACGTTTACGCGGATAAAATTCGAAATGCTTGCGAAACAGAGAACAATTTTTTGATCTTCGAATTGCTCACATTTTTATTTTATCGATAACTGTTAAAATTGAAGAAAAAAAAAATGTAAATTTCTTTTGCAAGAAGAAAATAGGAGGTCCTTGAAGGGTTTAACTCCTTTACATGATTTAATTGTGTCTCGCTGAACACGTGCGCTCCTTGCGGCTGAAATTTTGTCGCACTCTTGCTTCGTAACTTCATCGTGCACATGCCACTACATTCTGCCAACGAATTACACGAATTTACGTATAATTAAACAAGTACAAAAATCACGTAGAATATGTATGTACTTCAACAGCTTAGATGCTGTACACTACTATGTCATATTCTCTAACAATGTAGCATCTTTCTCTATACGAAAATACAGGGACAGACAAGATTCTTAAAACCGTTTGTCCTCAAAGCATACTTTAACGTTACAGTTTTTGTCTGAATCAATTAAGCGAAAATTGAAACTAGCGCCATATTTTTTCTTCATAAAAACTCACGTATGTCCCTTTATTTATACGGTAACAGTTACAAATTTCCTAATACGATTTTTAAATATGTCTGAACACGTATCATACACACGATGTTTTGAAAAAATGAATGTTGTGTACCGAGTATCCTTCTCTGTGCTTTACGACAATGTCTGACTATGTAAACTGTCTTGATCACTGGTCGATAAACCGTACTATTTAACCCGAAGAATGGTCGTTTTTATTTTTTGTGCAGACAAAGACTCGAATTGATGCGTGAAATGTATCACAACGAGGCTGAACTATCACCCACATCTCCAGACTTCAATATTGAATCTATCACCGGAGGTGATCCGTTCTACGATCGTTTTCCATGGTTCCGGATGGTTGGAAGGTAAAAAATCAATTACGAACGATAGTTGAATTAAAGCTGATCGAGGATCTTGACAAAATACGTTTCTTTGCTGTTACAGGTCTTTTATATACTTAAGCAATCTCATGTACCCTGTTCCATTGATCCACAAAGTAGCGATAGTCAATGAAAAGGGAGACGTAAAAGGCTACTTGCGTGTAGCCGTGCAAGCCGTTGTTGGTACGTAATCAGCGTCTACATGTACATCTTCTTTCATGGTGTCGAGGTGTTTCCTCGAGAAAGTATTCAACCCTCGATTATTAAATTTAATTGTTTTATAGTACAGTAATGTTACTGCAATACAAATTTTACACCTTATTTGTTGTTTCTCGACTATTACTGTATTCTTGAGTCGCCCGGGAAGCGTCTCGTCGTAGGATTTTCGTAACGAACCCTTCTTCCAGAAGAGGAAAACAGCGAGTACTCAAGCGGCGTCAGACAGTCAGCTAGAATTTCCTTCGAGGATGATCTCTTCGGCGGTCACAAGCAAAACAAACGTAACACTCTGTTAACTCAGACGCTGGAAAAGAATCGACAGATACTCCTGCACGAGGAGCGCGTCGTGGAGGGTCACAACGAGCAAAAGGACGTGAAAGACGAGGACGATATTGGCGACGCTGACAGTGGCAGAGGCGACAGCTCGGTCTCCAGCGACATGAAAGAGGAAGATCTGCCAGATCATTTGCAACCGGGTTCTGAATTCATATTCAGGGTAACTGTGCTACAAGCTATGGGTATCTCCACCGAGTACGCCGATATTTTCTGCCAATTCAAGTGCGTTTTAACTCAGACTATAGCTACGAAAACGTTTTTTTAGCTTTGTAACGATTAGCTAACATAAAATTGTACGTCATGTGTTGCACGCAGTTTCTTACATCGACACCACGAAGCCTTTTCAACGGAAACGGTAAAGAATACGGGAAAAGGAAATTCTCCTGGATTTTATCACGTACAAAATGTGAGTTGGCAATTCGTATCGATACGAAACAGTCGCCCGTAATATTTTATGAAACTTTGTTTTATGGAGCAACAAGTTTATAAATAAAAACTATTTAGTAGACTTTAGCGAGTAACCTGGTTAATTTGTTTAGATTACGGTCACGGTGACAAAATCGTTCTTGGAGTACCTCAAAACTCAGCCAATCGTCTTCGAGGTCTTCGGGCATTACCAACAACACCCGCTGCATAAAGATGCGAAACTGGAATAGTGAGCATTATATTCTACCGCCTCGATATTTATTTTGTTCTTTTTTTTTTTTTTTTTTTTAATTAAATGAATCCCACTTTATTTTCTTTGTTTTCCTTATTGATCACCTACATTCTAGCACATATCTTTACTTTAGCATTCATCCCAACAGCGTAAGACAGCCACCGAAGAGGATGCTTCCGCCATCTATACCGATCAGTCAACCCGTACGCTCACCGAAATTCGGAAGCGTCCTGCCATCGCCCAGCACATCGCACGTGCACGCCAAATACGATGTATTGGTCTGGTTCGAAATATGCGAACTGGCGCCGAACGGCGAATACGTGCCATCTGTGGTCGATCATAGCGACGATCTACCGTGTCGTGGACTTTTCTTGCTTCACCAAGGCATTCAGCGTCGTATCCGTATTACTATCGTTCACGAGCCCGCATCCGACTTGCGATGGAAGGACGTGAGAGAGCTGGTCGTTGGTCGTATTAGAAACACGCCAGAGCCGGAGGAAGAAGACAACGACTCTTCGGTACTCTCGTTGGGTCTTTTCCCTGGCGAATATCTCGAAATTCCCGGAGACGATAGATGTATGTTCAGATTCGAGGCAGCGTGGGACAGCTCTCTTCACAATTCTTCCTTGCTCAACAGAGTTACAGCGTACGGGGAACAAATCTTCATGACCATCTCTGCATATCTTGAGGTACGTTCCTTGATTGTTTTAACGTTACTTTCTGACATTTTATAAGTTAAATCGACATTAATACGGCTTAAAGCAAAGAAGATTCAATTTTTTAACTTAAATCGTTATCTGGTTTCAGTTGGAGAACTGTGGAAGACCGGCAATAATTACAAAAGACTTGAGCATGATCATTTACGGCAGAGATGCCAGAGTAGGACCTCGTTCTCTCAAACATTTGTTCAGCGGAAGCTACCGCAATCAGGAAGCTAATCGGCTCAGTGGCGTCTACGAGTTGGTTCTGCGACGTTCTTCGGAAGCAGGTAGCCCAGGTTTGTCTTGTCTACCCTTAGCGTAGTCCCCCCCTTGATCCTTTCCCATAATCCTGATGTAATAGTCAGAAACTGTTCACTTGTCCGGTATATTCAAATATATAAAAATGTCACATAATATACACGATGACTATTATATCATGGTATCAATAAATTGGCAGCTTTCTGTATTATGTTTTGTCCCTTTATTAAGTTGACGAAAGTGTACGTATTTAAAACAATTCTGCTGAAACAAATTGTTTCATATTCTCTTACATATCATTTCTCTTATATCCAGTACCTACCCCTCTTTCATAATTACTTTTCAGGTGTTCAAAGGCGACAACGCCGTGTATTAGACACAAGTTCCACATACGTTAGAGGAGAAGAGAACCTCCATGGATGGAGACCCCGAGGAGACAGTTTAATATTCGATCACCAATGGGAATTGGAGAAATTGACAAGATTAGAGGAAGTGGAGAGAGTAAGACATACGTTACTGTTGCGAGAAAAGCTTGGTATTGACAAAGTCCCACTCTGCAATAAAATACCGCACGATTTTACAAAGAGCGAAAAGGTAACTTCGCCATATTCCTCGAGATTCAAAGAATTCATTACAGGTGAGTAAATAATTATTCTTTCGTGCAGGAGGTTTGCAATATGATGGCGAAAGCGACAAACGAACCACACGCTAGCCCGGTAAAACTTAAACGTTCAACGAGTAAAGAGGTTTACGAGCATTGCGAGATGACCGAGAGAGAAAGAGAATTGGCCACGAAATACATAAAACTGATTCAGGGTCGGATCCCAAGTAAAGAACCGATTCTGCTTTCTGACGTTTCACCCGGCGAAGACACTATGGCTGATATGTCAGCATCCATGATGTCTTCGGTGATATCGTCCTCGTCTCAAGAGTCAGTATACGCGAGAGCTAGTGATTTCTTAGAGCAGGTAACCCTCCCCGCATGCCGAGTGCTCCTGCTAGTAGCGGTTGTCCACGCTTCGTCGCATCATACTACCTTGATGACAAAGATAGATTATTGTTTTTCGAGATTCAAAGAAAAACGATACTTTCTACCTTCACTCGTGCCTCGGAACACAGTTAACACATTAAGAATTGGCCAACCTGTTGATTGTTACCAAGACAGAAAAAATCAGAACACTTTAATAACATACGCAAAAAAAAAACGACTGAAGATAGGAAGGATTCGATTAAATTTGAACGTCGGAATTCTTAAATGTCTGAAACAAATCAGAATCGTTTCACCTGTTCCGTGTAGCTTGCAACAATTTTGTTTTGATGTATAAACTAAATAAACTTCAAGTCACATTTGCTTTTGAAATTGGGTCGACTTTGACCACGCAATATTCGGTAGCTTCGCTGAGTAACAGTTGCGCTTTTAGCGCAATCGGCTTCTTAAGAACTGCTTACTGTCTACTTAACAACTGGTAAACGATGACTCGAGGTTTTTGAGTCAAAGACAACCGCCAGCACGATTGGACACACGGTCAGGGTGATGCTGGAGTGTTACTTGCAGGCTGCTGGTATAATAGTATGGAGCAGGTCTAAGTCGTGCATCCTTAGGTTGAGTTCGCCGGAGAGGGCTAGACTGCAAGAACTGCAAGAGAGCATATTGGCTAGCGAGTCCAACAACCAGACATGTACCATCGCCCCGGCTCCGTTAGGTTCCTCGTCTCCGTCGAAGGAAAATTTGGTGCTCTACGTGCCGGAAGTTGAAGAGATACGCATTAGCCCGGTTATTGCTAGAAAAGGATACCTAAATGTTCTCGAACACAAGACTAATGGATGGAAGAAACGCTGGGTGGTATGTATATCGTAAAAGTACTGTAAACATCTAATAAATTAATAAAACTTTTAAACCAGACCGTAATAAATAAAGAAGCCTGTGAAAAGAAGGCTGGTGATCTTCCATTTGTAAAAAACATTATTATTGTGCTTAGGCGGTGCGACGACCTTATGTTCTAATTTTTCGGGAAGAAAAAGATCCGGTAGAGAGAGCTCTGATCAATTTAGCTACTGCTCAAGTTGAATATTCTGAAGATCAGTTAGCCATGGTGAAAGTACCAAATACTTTCAGGTAATTTACTAATCACGGTATAATAACTCTCTCAGTTAGTTAATAAAAATAATTTATTAAAATTCGTCAAGACGGTTTTTGTTAAGGTGTCAATGGTTATAAGCACTTTTCTTTTTTTTTAGTGTTGTTACAAAACATCGAGGATATTTGCTGCAAACTTTAGGGGACAAGGAGGTCTACGACTGGTTATATGCTATTAATCCTCTCCTTGCTGGTCAAATCAGGTATGTGCATTATTCCAAAAAGTATTAAATTTTGTCATTTAATAACACGATAATTGTAGATTTCAAATCTTAATGATACATTTGTTTCATCATCAAATGTAAAACTACACGTGCACAATAGTTTAAATGGCTCAAGCTTTGGTCCTGATTAAAGCGTTTTGGGTGGTCCACGCCCTTTCTAGTCGTTTCGAAACAATTTCAAGCCAAAAGGTCTTGCGAGTCAGCCAGAATTACTCGAATTTTCGCTTCTCCATTTAAGTCGTTACATCCAGTTTCATTTCCACGAGCTCCTAACCATATCGCCTCCCCCTTATGTATATAGGTCGAAACTAGCGCGCAAAGGGCCGACAGCAGCGAATCTGAATAACGCTTCGCCAGTCGGTCTATCTCCGCCTATAGATCAACAGTCGAACCAGAACAAGTGAGTGGTCGACACGTTGGCCGAGGTAACGAGCGTCATCACGAAAGCCTCCGAGAAGATGCTGTGCTGGTCGCACTCGGCCTTCGAGTCTCATGATCTCTGTAGCTTTCGATTTCCGGTAGTCTTCGATTATTAAGCGGCTCGGAAAAGCGTATCGATCGGCTACCAGCTTCGACAGCCGCCGATTAATATCCGGACGTCTGATTTAAGGACCGTCAGCGCTTTCACGCCTGACAATCGATTAGAGAAGAAAAACGGAAGTACATTCGTCTTTTGAAGGAAATGTTACGCACGTTCGAATTTAAAAACTATTACTTTGGGTCGCGAATTCTTCCACGGGTCCTCTCCGTTCGTTTCGAGAGGAAAAAAAATGCAATCGAAACGCATCAAACGTCGACGAGGTTATCACCGCGCGAACTCGCGATACCTTTTACCGTCGTATTTGAATTTCTTGATATTAGTCGGTTGTGCGAAGCGATTCTCTATAAACGCGAAACTGCATAGAGCGAAGAGGAACGTATTTTATGCCTAAATAAAACATTCCTAAGACGATCATAGAAACAAGGCAAGAGATATACACATTGTAGGTATACTGATATGAAAAGATGCGTGCGAGATAAAGCAAGAAAGTGAGGGAGAGAAAGAGAGAGGTGGGACGAAGTCTGGGAAATTACGAATTTTTGCATGTTCATGTCTGGAGATATTATTACACCGAGGATGGGTGCGGATTATTTCGTACAAGTTAACACGGTGAGCGTTAAGTAATTGATAGTGACTCGTTTACGTATTAAGTTTACAATTGTGACTGTCGTCTAGATGGTCAGTTTTCCCTGATCTTGTTCCGCGTTGTAACATTTACGCCTTGGACAATGAACGATTGATCAAAATTTCGCAATTTAAGCTTCGATTTTAATTTAGAATGTAAATTCAGTTCTGTTCAGTTCAGTTTTAAGTTTCCTCTTACTAATGAAAGTCAGTAATTCGCAATCTTATTAAAAAAAAAATAATACCGAGACAAATCAAATGTTTCTCGGGTGTCGTAACAGTCATGCATCTAAAAAGTTGTTAAATATCATGTTTTATTTATCGAAATGTAATCTGTACTAATTCTATGCAGCCCATTATTACTTAATGAGTGATTCTATCGTTTTAAGCTCAAAAATTATAGTTTTTGCAGCATCTGCCCAAAAGTTCAGAGAGACGATTGATTACTAATATGTTATCTCGCTAATTTCCCGAGTAGATCCCGAGGCGGATTATTTTCTCGGTAATTTATACGCGGTAGTGTACGCAAAAGTGTATCCCGCTCCTGTTGCCGTTTTTTCTTGCTAACTGTTGTAGAGTCTGATAGTTATATTTTGTTAACGATGATATGCGTATCGATGAAGAACGAGAGTCCGTAAACCCATAAGTTGTACAACACATCCGTGTACAACTTAACCATCAGTTGTACAACTTAACCCTTTGAAGCAAAAATTTAGACGAATTAACAACACTGATAACGTCGTTTTTTATTTTGACATAATTTAATTTATAGTACTTACAATATTAGTTACTGAAATTGTAAATTATTGATTATACTTCATATTTATGTATGTTGCATTTTTTGTAACAGTATAGTAGTGTTTCAAATTGTAATTGTAATCCCCATTTTGGGGATGCTGTTGCAACATAGTTGATTATTTGTAATTGTAAATTGAATATGTGGATGTATATGCATCATTCATTCACTTAATATTACCAAGTACATATATCTAGCAATCACAAATTATTGTGCGCATAATAGTTAAAATACAATTCAAAATGCAAATATCTTTTGTTTGGAATTGTATTATTAAATAGAATATTTAATCGATTTAAATTCCCACCGGGTATACAAATCAATTAATTTAACATATTTTAGGTATGTTTTTTAAAATATTTAATTATTTATTTAACAAAAGTTCGTTATAAAACGCTATCAATTTAATTTCTCAACCTTGTTTGATGAAAGTAATGGATTTCAAATGAAAAATTGAATAATAAACTGAAAACTTTCCCGAAATAAGAGAGTGGATATTTGATAATTTTTCATCCTTCAAAGTATAAAAAAATACAGTGCAATATCATTCGATCTTATTTAATTTTTCTTTTATTGAGAATAATTAAATAACTTAGCACTTTATATTGCTAGAGTGATGTTCATGTTTAATAATGTACCAAAGAGATTCTGTATCCTATTGGAAATGGAAGTGAGAGTTCATGTAAGATAAATATAAGAGACTAGTAGTAATAGATGATATAAGGAAAATGAAACATTTTTCACGAAATATTCATAACATCTCCAAACAAATGCAATTAAAAATCTGAACCAAAGGATGTAAGTAGTTTATTGCATGTATCCCTTTTTTCAAAGATGTTCATTCTACATCTACAAAGTAAATATACTTTAACAAATTTAGGATTAAAACGAAGACTTGTAAGATGCGTTTTTACACGATGAAACAAAAGTAATCAATGCATAATTAAGCTATACCTTTTTTTCAAATACACAAGAGAACGCCTACAAACTGTACAAGGGTATGAAGTATATGGGCGCATGCAATACTTATTGATATTACTTATAATGTACAGTATTTAAATTTTAATCTTATTTTTTATGTATAATTTATTTATTATGTAATGTATGTAACAAATTGAGTATGGAAGTGAAACAAAGGTAAAATTACAACGGTTATGGCACTGTAACCACCATTGCTTCAGGGGGTTAATGTCTTAATTTATAACGTCGTAAGAAATACGAAGTAATTGGAAAGAAAATGAAGAAAGATGGACGATGAAAATGAATGATGGTAAAAGGAAAACGATATGAGCGTTTATTGAAACGCAAAACGCCGTTGGTAAGATTAATAATCATTGTTGTTATTAGGAGTCAAAATACGGAATTAACGAGAATGATTCAAGAGCGAGAGAGAGAGAAAGAAAGGAAGGACGTAAAAAAAAGAGAGAATGAGTAAGCGCGCAAGAGTGAGTACGAAAGAATATGTTTGCTTATACATATATTATATAAGATGTGTATATGTGTATGCATAAATGCATATCTATGATGTATGTATGTGTACACACATACGTACCTTACAAGTGAAGTATATTATATAAATATATAAATAAATTTAATATTAACGTAAGCATTTTGTCAAATGTCAATGATCATCCGGAAAATGTATGAAGAAAGGTTAACGATGATTTGATCTGTACCAAGTATGTAAGTTCATATACTTGTTTGTAAGTTACCTAAAAATCTATTGCGAAAACGTTTTCATTTCTGGTCGTTTGCTATGAGAAACATGCATCGATGCTGTAACTTGTATTTATTATTATTATTCGATTTTCGCTAGGCTCACTGTAAGTGGTAACGTGTAATAAATCGGTCAATAAAAAGCTTATATGCTTAAAGGATTCTTTTCACAGCATACCCGCTTTTTAAGTTGTTGTACAGATTTCTGTTAACTCGACGCTGGTTTATAAAACGTTTATAAAACAAAGAATGGAAGGACACAAGTAAATGTTTATTTCATCTTTATTTACCAATCCATGCACATAGACGATTAAATGATAAAAGCGTTCTACAAATTCAAATCTATATTTAGCGTCGGCATCTAATTCGATATTCTCGGTCAACCTTGTAAAAGTGTCTGATAATTTTTGTACAATTTGTTGATCCGATTGGACAGATAAATTAATATAAATATTATTAATATAAAATAAATGATATTCTTCTTGATAGCAGCATATCAAAGTATAGAACGGTGTACTCGCTTTTGATATGAAATCTTCCTCAATTTTACGCGATAGACATACAGTCATTAATAACCGAAAGAAAACAATTGTGTTAAGTTTTGAACACTTGTATAACAGATACTAAAATTAAGATACTAAATTTAAAACAAAATTCTAGTTCAGGGGTGGGAAATTTGAATTTCTTATAAAGCTGCACGTTTCATATAGATACAGTGTTGCCAAAATGATAAAGAAATACATACGAATATCTAAAATTAAAAGAAATATAAGTTAATATTTCCTTTAGGAATTCATAAAACGAGTTTCTAGTCCATGTTTTTTTCCCGCGAACAAATAAGAAACAGGTCATTTGAGGATATGTAATTTTTTGATTTGTTTTTTGTTTACTTACTGTAAACACAATGGTGGGATTTATTAGTAATTCCATAGTTATCGTAGGCATAATTATATTTAAATTACATAAACACAAAATGCTTATTACAAAAAATACACACATTTTATAAATCAGTAATTTATTAGTCATATTTAGTACAATTCGTAAATATATATTTAGTATATTTTGTAATATATTTAGCGTATAAAGTTATTTACAATATCGATCTGCTTTCATTTTACTTCTTCTGTCCAGTAAAGTTTCGTGCAAGTTTCCTTCTTTTTTTGCTTTTTCTAATTCGGTACGATCAGCTTTATTTATTCTTAACTTTTTGTCTTGAAACTTTTGGAACTTTCTCCTAAAATTTTATTATTACATTTTTCATTTATCGTACATAATTGCAAACTGATCTTTTTTATATATTAACTGTATCGCTTACACATAGTTCACTTCGACATCCTGCAGAGAACCCTGTTCTTCTTTTGGTACATCTTTATTTGGATCTTGGGCTTTCTGAGTTATACTTCTGATGGTACAAAATTCTGAAGGCCCGGCGGCCTTGGTTTGACAAACAATGTCATCTTCCTCTGTAAGGGAGACGAAGCAACTATTGCTGTTTAAAATAGCAAGTTTATTATCCTGAAAATGGATCGTAGAATGTTTAATACATAGTAATATCTATTAGGTTTTAATATACAGAAAACCATAGGTTAAATAGTTGTGGAAATACCTGGAAAATTGGTTCCCATTGTTCGATCATACCCACCGCATCGCTTCTTCCGACAACAACACCTTTTTTATCAACACCCAAGTACTTTCCATAACCAGATTTTAATGCAATTTTAGTTTCGCCTATTGGAAACGCTGTCAAAATTTCTTCAGGTGAAGGACCTTCTCCTTCGTCGTGAGGTGCACCTAATGTAAATAGTCCGTTATCTAAAGCTTTCATATAAGTATGATTTCCAAACTCGATTGCCACTGTTCCTGTAACCTCCGATACTTGTGAGGCTTTCCACCATCCACCTATAAATTCAATAGAATAAATGGAATGACTTGTGCAAAATTATAGGTTATCGTAAATAGTATCATACATAGAATGTACCATGATTTAAAATATCTTTATCATCGGTAGCATTAACATGTTCCTTCTCTTGTTTTTTCAGTTTTCGTTTCTTTGATCTATGAAACGTAAGCGAAAAATTACGACAAGAATATCGAGACAAACCGATTAGTTAAAAGGTTAACTAATTTTCACCTTATCTTTTCGCCTTTTAAAATAAGTTTTCCAGTTCTGACTTTATCGTATTCTGACATTTTCACAATTTTTTTATTAATTTATAAGCATCTATCAATTCTTCCGGGCCTCCTATTATTAACAAACAATTTAAAAGTGTTTCCTATATATCTGCTAATATGAATAGACGTATCCCCTTTATAATAAATACAAATTACTTAAACACAATATTTATACACAAATTCACATGACTAGGGAAGCAATAACAAGCAGACGATAGAAACCATTTAGTTACATTTTGCTAGTAACTTTATATATTGCATACATTAGAAAGTTACTATAGCGCATTAAATTACGGCTTACGCCGATAGAGTAATTTAAAAAACAATTTGTTTTCATATTGAAATTAATATGGGGTTTTCAAATAGAACCACATTTCTTTGTTTCGTATTATATTGCACGAGTAGCCCCGTTACGAGGTTTTAAAGTAATCTAAAACGTTTCAATTTGTAACAGTCGTCTAATTTTTCTGTTTGTAGTACTTTTAATGTTCGCCTCTTTGTATCGAAGAGAGCAGTATCGATTAGAGGTAGTTAGGTCTGGGTTAGGTCCCTTAAAAGTTGCAGTTTGGAAGTTAATTCGATTGAAGTGAATCATCTTGGAAGTAGTCATAGAAACGTGACGGGAACTTTGAACTCTGTTTATATCGCGGCGGGTAACTAACGCGATTGTTCTAGCGTGTTCACGAATCGTGACAGTTTATTCCTATTCATTAAACTATGCTGATGCGCTAACAGCTTTGAATACGATCTTCGCAGAAAGTGGTTACAATGGATCGAAAGTATCAGAGAGTCGAGATGGGGGCGGGAGCGTTTCACCATCCCCCAAGAGCCAAATACAGCGAGGAGACGAAGAGTTTAATAAAACGTGAGTTTTCGCAAATTTGTTTGCATTACATGACAATGTTTCGCTTAGTTCCAACCACCTTCAAAGGAAACAATCAATTGGAGCAGTATTTAATATACCGTATTTTTTTATTTTAGTTTTGATGGAAGAATCGAAGGTGACCATGATGCAAAGGAAATCTATTCAAGAAGCAATCGATAGAGGGGAGTCCTTGCCACTTCCCATGGAAAGATCGAGCGGGAAACTAAATAATCATGATTCCGAGTATCAAGTAAGATTTTTAGAGTAAATAGAAAACGGTATTAAATGAAGTTGTTGATGGAAGGCGATTATTATTTTCGTAATTAATGGTTTTCCGTAGGTCATGATGCCTACTGTTTGGAAAAGACGGACCAAAGATATGATCGTTAAAAGCGGAGCGTACGAGAGAGAACAGTATAGGAGAACATTTCCTTTACGTAAGATCATATATTTTTATTTGTTTCAACGACACCGAATTAATTATTTCCATAGTTGAAGACAGTTCTGTTAGTACACTTGGACGAAACGATGTCAATGTTTGGACGAAGAAGTCTTGCAATAGTTGTTCTGGGGTTTATTTTGGGTAAATAAAATAATTTTAACGATTATCTTTCTCGTTAAAAATTCAGCCAACAAGGAGAAACAGAAGCGTCATTTAGCATGCATAATGGCGTATGGGAAAGATATGCCGGAAACACCCCATGGTCCAAAGGTTCTCCACAAAGTGAAACGAGAATCATGTTTGCCTGATAAATTTGATCCTGTTGACGATCGTAAGCAGACGAAATAAATTCATATTTATATTAGATGCTTACAGCAAACGCGTTTTTCCAGTGGTACGGGGGATTCAAGAAAGAATGGAATTTTTAAGCGATATGAAATGCCTAGGGATGGAAAAGAAATATCGTCCTATTATGCAACAAGAAATAGCGCATAAATTGCGTATACTTGAATCACTAGATAAACAAAAGACTAAAGAAATTCGGAAAGAGATGAGGAGTCTTGAGAAACCGTTACCAAAACCACTCTCATCTGGGCAATTTGATGAAAATTAATGCCGTTCATTACTCCCATTTCGCTTTATCTATCCAATTGATATATTTTATACGGACTACAGAATATATTATACAATATTTTGAATCATTCTTAATAAAATAACTAACTAAAATAATAGTGTTCCTAATTATGGTATAATCACAGACGAGGTATACGAGTAGACCTTTCACCCAATGTATTTTTTCGGCCCATTTTTAATTACATAAATTTTAGTATTCCGAGGTGATTTTAGCGACCTCTTCTCATGGATGACGGTCAGTTGAGAAACTATTCACTGAATTAGTGCGATAGGCAAACAGACTAGTCGTGTGCAAATGCATATGAGTCGCGAAGTACGAATTATTCGCGATTCTTTGATTAGTTAAAGTTGTAAATAATTTGTGTGTAATCATCGGAGTGAATGATGTTAACAAATTCAAGAATCTTGTCATCCGCTACTATGAATCGACAAAAGTGTGGGTTATATTTAATTTGTACGTTTTATCGCCATCCATCGATATAATTCTAAAGTCAAAGTTGCGTATCCGCGGTTTCTACCCGAGGCATCTCGATTCCTTTCCGAATAACAAGCTTCGCGAGACGTCGGCCCTTCCCCCACCCCGCCGACTAATTCACGAGCGTTACCGAGCGCAGCGACGAGCCGTCATTCGTACTTAGAAAATTAACGCAGCAACATGTGTCGACGCGTATCGGCGTTTCGCGACCGCGGTACGTAATTCTAACCTGTTTATTCTTCCATTATTACTACTCGCGTTTTCATTACGACATCTTGCAATACGGTTTCGATTTAATCATTAGTTAATTATAATAATCGTTCATGTTCTTTAACGGATCTTTATTTCGTTTCTGTTACAGTCTCTTATTGGAATTCGAAATCGAGAAATTCCTTTTTGAAATAGAAGACGTGTCGGCGTTTCGCGACCAACGAAGTACGTATTTCTAACCTATTGATATTTCCTCATTGTTATCAATTTAATTTGTATTTTATTTCTGTTGCAGTCCCTGATTGAAATTCGACGCCATGGAAAGCTTCATTGGCGCGTAAACGACACCATAACAGATGGCAGACGAGTCGACATATTTTGGAGGGATTATTGGTAACGTTTAAACAATTACAACGTAAATTAACATCCATATTAATATTTATATATTCTTATCTCTTTATTACGTTCGTTGCAAGCATGATAATAATTTTCTAATCGGCCATTGTTAAGATAAAATATGAAAATCGTTAACAAACTTTTTATCCACTTCGATATTATATCGAAGTATATACAAAATGGCGTCGGTGGATACTAACGATAAATTGAAATAGTTTATATTTAACTGTATTCCGATCGCGGTTGAATATTTCCAAGTGTTATTTATTGATTGTTTATATTTCTTTCTTTATGAATCGTTGTAAATGTAATTTGCATACGTTTTCGGTGCAAGTTGAAGAAAACGTAGAAACTACGTAGTTGGAATATGCTATTCAAGCATGAATAACCAACGAACTTTAATTCTTGCAAATTTCGGAATATTTATAAAAATTACGGGATATTCGAACGTTAAATAAAGCAAACATAATCATGCTTACGACTCTAACAATGAAACTTAGTGATATCATTTTTATAAATCGAATAATTACTTGTACGTAATTATTTTCGTAGATAATATTTTATCGTTGAAATTCTCATTGATTGAGAATATTTTTACGTGGCGAACTATGTATACAATAGTACTAAGTAAAGCAGTATTTCTGTTGACGAACTCTTGTGAGAAGAAAAAAGAAAATCGATAGGCAAAGCACAGGTGTGCTTGTTGTGTTTCTTGTCTCCTGTCCCTTTCTTTTCAGCTGTTTTCTTTCCAGGAAATTTGTTGGCCGCGCGCAATGCGGCCGGTAGATTCAGTGATTGCACGTAATAACAAGTTTGTTTCTCGGGGCAAAGTGACCCCCAACGTATGTTGTCGTTTACGGTGTTAGGCAAACGCGAGGATAGAAGCAGTGTTTCCTACGCAGTATTAAATTATTTCCAGAGCATCGTGGCTCTTTCTGTTTTCTGAATCGCGATAATAGAGTCATTTGTTCGCCGATTTCAATCTTCGGTCGCGGTTATCTAATTTAATACTTTCCAATAAAATTAATTATTTTTTGAAATTTAAACTCCTCGTTACCGGAATTAGAGTCAGTGCATCACGGAAGAGGATTATTTGGCGATGCTCCACGAGCAAACAATGTAAGTATAAATTTATACTTTGAAATTTTTAATTAAAAATCTCTACAGTTTTGACGATAGATTCTAATTGTTTTCTTACAGTTTTCTTACAGTTTCTGAACTTGATCCTGGGAACCAGCAGCAGTACTCGGGGAGTATCGGGCGGTGGACCACGAGCGAACAACGTAAGTATAAATTTATACTTTGAAATTTGTTAATTAAAAATCTCTGTAATTTTAACAATAGATTATAATTGCTTTCTTATTCTTTATAGCAGGATCATGCAGGGGGCTTCGATGACTTCCACTGGGCAGCAGCAGCATCATTATGCAGTCATCCCAGAGGCACAAGTTCATCACTGGTGAGTCGCATGCTATTTGTGTTCCTCTGGTCCCCAACCATGTTGTAGGATGAAAGATCCGAATCAACACGGGTGACCAGTTGTATACTTGGTATTTTTGACGAGTTAAGTGACCGCGGGTATGAAAAATACCCATGAATGATATTTTTTTAGTGCAGGCTAGGGTCTTCTTGCACTCGCGTTTTTCAATGTTATCAATAAATATTACACAATTTTGATAAAATATATGAAATATGTTTATTAACTTTACATGAATTATATAATCGAGTAGAAGATGAATTAATATAATGTGAAAACATTATATTGATCATACGATTCAGTAAAATATCTTACATTATTAATAGAATTATTAAATATTCGTTTTATCAATTAATACATCATATGATGTATTTTACGTGCAAGAAGGCATTACGCGACTGGTCGATTTTCAACTCGAAGGAACATGCATGTTAATTTTATTTTTTTAAAAATTTACTTTGACGACAGAATCGACCAAGGTTAATTGAATATTTTGAATAGTAATTTAACAAATTTATTTCAATTTGCAAAGTAAATTATTTTAAAATCTTTATTAAAGTCTTCTATTTTGAACAATTAAATTTCACAAATTTTTCTTGAATAATAATATCTTTCAATATTAACGTACTCTGTTGTTGATATATTACATAGAACAAGTCGAGTCATTTTAACTGAGAATAGATACCGTTTAGTTAATTATTAATAACCAGTTGTTCTAGCGAGGATTTTCAGGATACTTTTCCGTGTTCGTTGCCTAAGTTCATGCACATGCCCAAGTGTTATTTGCACGAGCGAAGGCAACGGGGCACGATGACTTAGTTCGTAACATTTATAATAATAATTTATCCGTGCGACTGACAATGCTAGTGTATCGTGCGCGATGTACTGTCCACATATGTGTGTTTGTGGTTAGGATGTGGAAGTGCATCGTATCAAAAGTTCATTGCAATTCAGATACAGAATTCTTTAACATTAGATTCATAACAATCGTAATAATAATATTAAACTTATAGTTATTCTTTACTTGGCAATTGTTCGTATTGCATACACGTCGATGATATTGTAAAATGCATAATGAATTAGCTTTTCGATCTTATATAATCATATATAGAGTATATTTTAATAAAGAGTATATCAGATATATTAAAACGTTTTACATAAATAATAAAAGTACGCAATGGGCACTAGCTTTGTCAGTCCACTGCAAAAACTGGTACGTACACAATTAGAGTATGAATGAGGTTGTGTCCGGGTGTCGGAGGAACCCCGGGGAGTCCTCTCTAGTTTAGGTCGCGCCCGGACATACAGAATGAGAACCGTGTAGTGTTTGTTTGAGAGACTGAGTTTTGCAATTTTTTAAATATAGGGTTAGGTAGGTAGGTAACTTATTCTCTGGTGTGTGTGTTTAAACCTAAGTAGGTAGGGCCAGGGCAGGACTGTCCACATTAGTAATTCGGGTAGGCGCGTTTTCGCGTGGCAGTTCTGTTCCTGTAGTTACGATCTCGAGAGTAGAAATGTTGCTGATTCAAACGGTGCACTTGTGCTGTTTGTTTCGGCTTTATTTTCGACTCCTCGAATCGCACGACTCTTAAAGTCGCTCTCTCGCGCTCGCGGTCGTGATCAGGTCCCTTTCGAAACGTTCGTCCCCCTCGAGATTCACCACGTATGCTCTTGCAACGATTCGTATATTGTTGGAAGACTACGTATTGCACAAAATCTCGAGCCCGGTCTTTCGTAAGTTTCAGGCATCGGCAGGACCGCCGAAGAAAGAAAAGGCTCTATATGAGCTGAAGAGGCCCTGACAAACTGTCTCAAGAGTGGGCTACAACAAATGGCTTTTCATCTTCATCCTCGGATGAGAATGGAAAGTCATTCCTATTACTACTTTGTCACTTAACTCGTCTGTAGTTGTAGTTAGTTTATTTTTCTAGCTGGCTCACGTATGCATGTACCTGATGGTACATGATTGCACCATACATGCCAGCCATCTCTCCCCATAACTCGCGGTTATGATATAAATAGAGTTGCGAATATCCAATAATCGCGTTTGCTTGTAGAGTTGCGAATCACTGTTTTTCGCGTTGCCTTTTCAGGGTAGTGTTGCGAATAATTACCATTCGCGATTGCTTTTTTGCAAACTTAGATACCATAAGTTTGCTTTAAAAATAGCGTTGCGAATTATCGATAAACGCGATTGCTCGTAGAGTTGCGAATTACCATTTTTCGCGTTTCCTTTTCAGGGTAGCGTTGCGAACAATCACGATTCGCGTTGCTCTTTTACTCTTTTATACATATAATGGACATCAACCGCGTTTGCAATTTTCATATCATAAATTAGCGTTGCGATCTTGATCAATCGTGCGATTTTTTCTTTAGAGTTGCGATATTTTCAATGCCCAAATTCTACCCCAATTGTAGTACT